CCAGCACAAACCCCCCCCGCGCCGAACAACTCGCGCCCGTCCCGCCGCGGCGGGCTCGGCCCGGCCGTCCGCTCCCCTAGTTCCTCTCGTGGACTCAAGTTGCCACGAGCCGCTTTGCCCCTTCCTCTGGCGACGAAGGAGGCGGGGTGGGAGGCCGGGTGGGTGAAGCGGCCGCGGCACACCGGTGGTGGCGGAGGTACTACTTTGCGGATCCCGCCGAAGTCGCTCGGCGAGTTTATTTTCCCAGGCCCGGTTGTTTCTGTTTGTTATTTTACCGGGGGAGAAAACAGTACAATCCGGACGGGACGCAGGCGGCGGCAGCGCTGCCCACGGCCTGCCGGGGGAAGAAAGGGTCTGCTCCGGCCCGCTCGGGCCGTGCCCGCCGCTCTCCGGACTGTGAGTCGGGAGGCTCGGGAACGAGCGGCCCATCTCCTCCCCTGCTCTCGCCCCGTGTCACCGGCGGCCGGAGCCGGGCTTCGCGTTCCCTGCCCGCCGCCGTCCTCTCAGCCCCGCGCCGCTCCCGTTCGGACGCCGCTTCCCTTGCGCGGCCGCCAGAGCCACGCGGGAGGCGTCGGGCTCCGTCCGCCTCCTCCTTCGCTCTGCCGGCCTGACCGAGGCAGCCGAGCGCAGGCCGCGCCAGGCGTACAAAATAAATGTTGGTATTGGTAGCCCATGAATCGACACTGCGGTTTCCTGCCGGCCCGGCCCGTGGGCCTGGCCACGGGGTCTGAGTTCCGCGGGGTTTAGTTTTGCTGGGAGAAGGGGTAAGGGCGGGCGGCAGCCGGCCGGGTGCTCCAGGGGCAGGGAAAGGGTCTGGCACCGCCGCTTTCCACAAGCAGACTCGATGATACAGGCTCGGGCTTACGGCTGCGCTTTGCCGGGACCAAAGGGTTGGGTATTAATCGTCCACAGCATATCGGTTTGTACTGTCAGCACGGGAACAAAAAAATCAAGCGGAAAACAAAATGAAATACATCGCACAGCGGTCTTACTCGGAAAGGAGAAATGTAATGGACAGAGAGCGTGCTGATCGCGTTCAGACCAAAGCTGTGGCAAACGTCTAGCACCGCGTTAAGCTGCTTCACGTTTGTGCTGGAGGAAAAGATGCTCCGTAGAAACAATACGTGCAGCTCAACCCCAGCTAAAACAATTTATTCCAAGGAAATTCAGAAACTCAGGTTAGAGCGCAATGCAATGAATGTGGACGTGCGTTTTATATATGTGTTTGTGTATGTGTGTGTGCGAGGGAGGGAGGAAAAGCGAGTGTGAGAAAGAGAGAGTAAATAACGAGGACAAGTAAAATGGACCGGTAATAAACAATTGCAATTGGGGATGGCATGAACTCTGTGCATTGGATTAACCTCGAATGACCTTACCACAATTGTATTTATTTAACCAATTTCATAACAGGTTGCTACTGACACACACACACACAAGTTAATGATCAACAACCACTCTTTTTTCCATTGTTTGTTGTTTGGTTTTGGATTTTTTTTTCAGAAATTCAGGGGTTTTGTTTACTTTTTTTTAATCATGACAATTTATAATTACTTCGTTCCTCAACACTGAAGTCAATGTATGGGATTTCTCTTGAAGAAGAGTGCAATGCAGAAGAAACTATATGACTCCACCATGGCAAGGGGTAAGAGGAAAGGTAAGCTTCCTGCATATTATTATGATTATGATCATCATTAACTAATATGTGTCATTATGGTGCAGTAGGATCCCATTAGGGTGGCTGGGCCCAGTGCGTTTTCCTACTCGGTCTAGCATGTAATGATTCGGTGTAACCAGATTCTTGAGAAAGGACAGGTTACGTAAACATTTACTGATGTGGAGTAACTATACTATTTGTACTCTGATATGCAGGAAGGAAAGTGTTGATTAACACAGAAGAAAAAAAAGCGAAATTAGCTGATTGCATGCTCATAAGTGCAAGCTGTCATTGAACTGCTTTTAAAATAGACACAGCTGGGTGTTTGTGTTGAAAAATTTCTTGTGTTTTTGCTAATACTGAAATAAGCATGATTTTGTATACCAAACATTTTCAGATCATTAAAATTTGTAATCTGTGCTGGTTTTAAACACAAAGAAAAGAAACAGATTCATTTCGTTGTAAAATTTGCTGATATTATATTAACTCAATCAGGTCTGTACAAATGGTGTATTGTGCCTTATCAAATCTCTTTGATCCATTTAATACACAAAGTGCCAAACGTGTGTATTGTTTGTTAACATTGAACGTTTTATTCAAATCCCAGCTCTGTAGCGAACTGGAGGAGTTCTTGTTTAATGTAACACTGACATTGCCTGTTGAAATTTTAATGCCTTGAGGTGTTTCTTAGGTCAAAGCTGAGTTTACTTTGTGTTGTGATCAGGGATGAAAATGTAGCGGGGAAGAAAATAGAAGTTTTATCTTTTTTGCATTTCTGGGCAAAAGGCTAACATCGCAAGAAGCACACTTTAAAAACATTTGATGATGTAGATTTAACATTCGGTCATTTATCATGGGTGCGGAATAAAACTCTGTGCACAAACTTAGGATTTATATTTTTCTTTTAATGCCATGGATATACAATTCTACCAAAAAAGGAAATGTTTTGTCCAATATGTAGTACATATCTTTCTAAGTACATGAAGATTAATTCATTGTTTACAGGAGAGAAAAGGATATGTAAGAGAAGCCACGTCAATTATAATTTCTGCTGGACTTTAACTTTCGAATATTTTTTAAATTTTTTTTTATTATTCTTTTGGGTTTTTTTCCCCCCTCTCCTTCGGCAGAAAATGCACTGTTTATAAAACTAGAGATATTTGCTTTGGAAATGCGGGGGTCTTGCTCTAATGCCGGTTCCTTCCTGAGCTGTGCCCCGAACACGACTCCACTTCGGTGGTACCTTTGTGCGTCGGGGCAGTACAGGTTTTTGACCGCTCAACTTTGGCTAAACCCGAATTCCCTTAAGGAAGTTCCTCATGGCAGCATTTTCTAACAGGGAAGATTTTGTGGAGTGTTTGGAACAGAAGTTTATGCGTGGAACAGAGGCACACAGCCCCCAGCCGTGTGAAATACGGGTGGGTGTGCAGAGGGGAGCCGGCTCTCTGCAGAGTGTGAATGATGCCTCACCTGCACGCTCATCGACGCTGCGGATCCACCGAACCGAGCGGCAGGGATGGACTGAGAATATCCAGCTCCGGGGTCAGGATGGGGCTGAATAGCTGAGCTGAAACGTCCTGGCTGAAGTGCCATTCAACAGCGATCTCCGTGCAGCTCTTGGGTATAACTCGTAGGGATAGTGTTTCAACCACATACTTTTCCTCCCCCGCCCTCCCCCCGCCTTTTTTTTCTTTTTTTTTTAATTTTTATTTTGTTTTTAAATTAAAGGCCAAAGGAGAAAAGACCCTCTCCAGTGTACACTTAATGCATATAGCGTACTTCCCTTGCACCATCCCCCGCCCCAGCTTCAGCCTTCAGTCCCCCTTCACACGGGTATAGTGGCTCTGTACTCTCGGGCTCTTTCAAGGCGGTTAAGCTGCTAAAATGTACTGACAGCTTAAGAAATGAATGAGGTTTTTTTTTTCAGCCCTGAAGAAAGGGTATTTAATAACCACGCTTCGATGGCATCATGCGTCCACGAAACGAGTCCGGACACTTTGGTTTAACGATCAGTAATATCACATTCGGGACAGTAAATGCCTCCATGTACGCTTATATAATTCTATTCCCCCTTGACTATAAGCTTGCCTTATTTATTCCAGGTTACCTGGGCAATTAAGGTAAGGACTGCTCAGCAGATACTGATACCCTGCTGCTAAGGCATGGCGAATGGGGACTGAGCAGTGCGCTAACAAAGAGAAAGAGGTAGTCAAACATTTTGAAGAGGGGTGAATGGGACTGAAGGTGGATGGATGGATGAATGGAGGCAAAGAGGGAGAGGAAGAGGCATTCAATGGTCCAGACTTCTCTCCGCATTTGTAGATTTAAGTTTAGGTGTCCGCCTCTAGCCAGCTTCCAGTTAATCCTCAACAGCTTCTAGTGATTAGAAGTTAGTCTATTTAGCATGCTATATCCTTCTTCCATGGGTTTTAGTTACAAGTTATACGATTAGGATTGCGAGAACAGTAGTGAACTAAACTTCCCAGTAAGAGGTCTTCACACCAGGGAAGTGTTACTTTGCTGCAGCAGCCCTGCCTCGTCAGTCATTAGGAAGCTGCAGGTTGTCAGAGGCTTCTCTTGCGCGCACACAAGCGCAGACACACACGCACACACACACAAAACCACAGCACTAAAACTAAATTAAGAAGCCGATGATTAAGACAAGCGTCTACGAGGCCTGTCATTTCAGCATCCTTCCATCATAACATTGTGGCACCGAGAAATTTGCTTGAAAACCCTGGAAAAAAATGTCTATGGGAGAGCCTCGTGTTTGAGGCTGTTAATATCAAATATAGACTGGGAACTGCCTCGGATGCAAGACAGTATTCCGCCGAGGAAAGGAACACTGCAGAGACCTTGGTGCTATCCGCGCACTCCCGAAACTCTGGTAAGTATCTCTCCCTTCTATTGCAGCAGGTACGCACTGTGTAACTGGAACTGGACCGGGTTTGAAATCCGCAGCTATGTTCCTTTCGGGGAGCTCCTCCTAAAGATAAATCTGTAATGAAAGGTCCTTACAGGATGACTAATGGTTATTGGCACTCGGTGAACCTTTAGGGAAAGAGCACATATTGTGCCGAAGACCTTGCAAGCACACTTTAAATACAAACCTTTTAAGTTTCACTCCCATGCATACACATCCCTGTTGTTTTCGGGCTAGCTGTGTTGTGTCTCCCCCCTTCCCCCCCCCTTATTTAAGCTCTCTAGTGTTCCCTCCCCCCACCCCATTCAGAACTAATTGCTCAGTTACTTAAATGTTTCAAAAAGCGCTAAATTTCTCCATCCGATGATCTTTTGAGAAGCTGCACTGTACCATAAGGAACCGCCAGCGGGGCACTGTATACCTTAGAGGAGCCTGCGCAACTAGGGGAGAGGTAGCGTTAAAACAATGACATTAATAAACTAAGTGCACCGGGTTCCCCTCCTGTTGAACTTTTGGGAGTTTCTTGGGCGGGCAGAGGTTGAACGGAGAACGTCGAAATGGGAAACAATGGCTGTAGGGGCCAGAAAGCTTTGCTGATGTCGTAAGCGTAAAACAAGACAGAATAGTGACAGAAAGAGATCCGAGTAAACATTGGAGTATACATTTCCCACGGCGACTACGCCGAGTGGAGAGGTCTGAATTAAATCGCCTTAATTAAAAGCTGAAGATTTTATTTATTTATTCCTGTAGCTGTAGAATGCCATCCACAGAAAGCCTGTCTAGGGAGTGTAGAGCATCCACTAGATTTATTGTGTTCAGTTGCCAGTGCCAGAATTTTTCAGATCAGAATATTTTTATACTCACTGCCAACTTGAAGACCTGCGGGTTTTTAGATCCTACATATCGCTATTATTTTATATGCCAGTGTGCAGAAAAGAGAGGTTGCACCTGCATAGGCTATTGCTATACCTGCGTTATGAAAGCTGTCCTTAATTCAGAAACCGAACAAAATTTTTAAATATCCTTTAACAATTATCCACAGAGTTATGCAGACGACGATAATAAAATGCGAAGGAGAAATTAACAAGTTAATAGCCTTGTTCTGTTCTCGAGGTTTCAATACATAATTTTATATTCTCTTGGGTTTACTGTTAAAACATTCTAGGCCAGTGCTTTTGTCGGCGTTGTGATGTTGAAGCAAAGACGTGAAATAAAATAGTAGGGGGAAAAAGAAAGACCTGGAGAGAAAAAAACCCAACAAAACAAACCCCAAGTAGTGCTTGAAGAAGACCTCTAGCTGCTCTTTGACTCCTAAGAAACTGTTGCTGGAATATTTTCACGGTGTTGTTCTAAAGCTCTTTAGCCTCCTATAAACGTAATGTTTGGCAAGTGACACATGGATCTGGTTTTGCAGTTTTTCGGCGACTCGAGAGAAAAGACGCCCTTTCCCCCCCCCCCCC